CTCTCTAATGCTTGTACTTCCTACTCTGAAAAAATACATACCTTGTAGGAGGATGAAAAACAATCCTTCTCATTGATCATGGAGTTTTGCCTCTGAGGAGAAAATATGAATTTACAGACAAAAGCAATTTTAAAAGACCATATAAAAGGAATTCGTTTTGTATTTATGGAAGGAGACCAAGCCTAAAAGTCAATTCAACAAATATTTATTGAGCATTTATTCAACAATCATTTATTGGTGGTATTATATATAAGCAGCAAGGTTCTAAATGTTACAAGGATATAAAAATAAGTAAGTTATAGTTTTTATGTCCTAGGAGGAGGACAAGGGGAGTCTAGTAATAAATATAAAGGTCTTTTTGACTCCATCCCACACTCTGCTCACATAATCAATCATCCTTTTAATAAAAGACAAAAAAAAATTGTCATCTAAAGGCCAAGGATTCCTTAGGATAACGTGCAGAATAAGATGACCAAAGTCATGGACCCCAAGCATCTTACAAATATTGACAGTATCACAACAGCAGCAACACAAGAAAATAATACACCCAGAGTTGGATAATGGCTGGTGATCTAGCCTGGGCATGAGATCCCTTCAGCAATATGCTTCACTTATTTCCATTATTTAACAGCTTCTGGAAGCATGGACTTGCTGGGAGAAGGAGTTTGCTTAGAGCTAAGAGTCAACAGTTTCTGGAGGATAGATGTTTTCTACAGTATAATTTTGAAGTGGCCATTAACAAGTCCTGTGTCCTGTTGTTCAATTAAAATTTAAATTTTGTGCTCATGCACCATTCAGTTGAGTCAGCAGGGTGGCTGTAGTGACCTGATACACTGTGATTCAGAGAACCAGACGCCTTCCATCTCATGACCCAGTACTCCACTAAGTCCTCAGATGTTCTCTATTCATTTGGCAAATGTGGGAAAGAGAAATTGTGGAGGATCACTTAGGAGATTTTATGGGCCAGATCTCGAAGTGGCTCACACCACTTCCATTCACACTCCATTGACCAAAACAGTTATTATGAGCACATCTAACTGCAAAGGAAGCTGTAAAATGAAGTCAATCTTTGTGTTGAGGAAGAAGACGAGACCATGGGGGGCAATCTGCTGCACTGATATTCTCAAACCACAGCATTCTGATCCAGGACTAAAGCATCAGACCGCACGTTCAGTGCAGGGCACACTTCAGCTTTGCCTGTGGGAAGAAATTAGATGAAGGAGTTTTATGGGTGGGGTGTTGCAAGGTAATGGGGAATTCCAGTCCTTGCCAGTACCTAAAATGGCCTCTGTACCTGGCTGGTACTTAATAAATAGTTGTTAATGAATGAACACCTGTGACCTTGGGTGGTCCTATCAAATATCCCTATGCCCAAATTTGGCATCCAACTGTATATCCATGCACAAAATGTTAAATCTAAACATGGACCTACACTTTTCACAAAAATGAACTCCAAATAGATCATAGACCTAAATATAAAATGCAAAACTATAATCCTCCTAGAAAATAACAAAGGGGAAATCTAGGTGACCCTGACTTTGGAAATGTTGTGTTAGATACAATACCAAAAGTACAATTCATGAAAGAAAAAAATTGGTAAGTTGGACTTCATTAAAATTAAAAACTTTTTGCTCTGCAAATGACAATGTTAAGAGAGTGAAACGACACACCACAGACTGTGAGAAAATATCCGTGCAAAACACACATCTCATAAAGGATTGGCATCCAAAAGAACTCTTAAAACTCAACAATAAAAGAAAAATTAAAAATGGACAAAAGCTC